GTTGGCCCAGCAACTCATAGCCAAGACCCAAACCCAACGCGCATTCCAGTGGAGCAGCCCGAATCCAAGCAGCAACCCGCGACCCGCTGGAGCACCTGAACCGGATCCAGTGGAGCTTCAACCTGAATCGGTAGAATTAGGGTTCCCAACTCTAATCTTTTCTCACCCTCGACGCCGCAAGTTACTCCCAAGGACTCCTCATGCTCCACTCCTCCCCACCGCCGGCCGTTTCGTTCGGGATAACAAACAACAAACGTTTGTTAGTATGAAGCTAAGAATAACAACCAAACGAGTATTTTACTCGGAAACAAATTCACAAAAAATAGAGCTTCTTTTTTCATTATAAATATTGGATGTAATCAACACCATTTCGCAAACAAAAGACGCACATAAAAATCACGGCGAAAGCAAGAATACTCGAAGCATTTTTGTAAAATTTCGAAAGCAATAAAGGTAAAGATCTCACATTTTTCGATTTGAGGCTTGCATGTTGGTGTAGTGTTCGTTTTCTCGCTATTTTGGTTCGAATAAAACCCCAAAAGGGTTCTTTGTCGAGGATCGGGGAAGGCTTATTCCTTCGAAAGATCTACAGATCTAGCCCTCCAGAGGCAACTTTTTGAAAAACGATGTCATTTTTAAAAGATTGAGAAAAAAGTTTTGAAAAACAAAAAAAAATCGATTTTACCGCTGATGACCGGCGGCCGGCGAGGCGGCGGGCCATCGGTTTCTGAAAAACACGGTGGTCGTTCTTCATGTTCTTAAAGAACATAAGAACAAATGAGAGAAAATGGATTTGGGGGTGCTCGGTTTGAAAGGAATAAGAAATGAGAGTTTTAATTTTTTTTGGCTTTTATAGTTAAGCCCGTGCTCGATCCGCGTGTGACTTGATCCACTTTGTAGGGTTCACGTGTTTTCTAAAATTAATGGGATAATCTCATTTTTGGTCCCTCATCGTTTCAATCCTTTTATTTTGACCTTAAATTCTAATTTTTACCCCGAATTCTCCTTAATTTGGCCATCCAATTTTATTTTTATTCAATTTAATCCATTATTATATATACGTAATTATATTCCTTTTTTATTTATTTTATATATTTTTTCTTTCTGTTTATTTATTTATATTACTAATTTTTTATATTCTATTCTATTATATATATTTTTATATCATTATTTTTATACGTATATATATATTATTTTCATTATTTTGTATATTCTATTTATTCGTCTATTTTTTATTGCTATTTATTATGCACATATTCTTTTTACTATGATTTCCCAATATTTTATTTCATTTTTTCTTGTCTTTATTTTTATTTTTATTCTTTTCGTTTCGTTTCGTTTCGTTTCGTTTCGTTTTGTTTATTTTATTTTTGTTTATTCTATTTATTTATTTTCTTTATTTTTTGATTTTATTTATGTTTCTTTATTTTCATTTTGTTTATTTTATTTACTTGTTATCTTTATTTTATTATTATTATTTTTCTTTATCTTTCTTACTTTTTTTTATTTTATCTTCTTTATTTCATTTGTTTTGTATTTTGTTTGTTTTTATTGCATTTTTATTTAACACATTTCTTGATTTCTTAAGGGTTCACTTTTAAATCTATCAAAGGTGAGTAATTTGGATTGTTATTTTACCTTTTAATTTAAGCTTTCAATTTTCTTAATTAAAGACAACTAGAAATTATGTAGTACAGAAAGTGCAGTTCAAGGGTGCCAACCCTTCCTTGACTGTAACCGACTCCCGAATCCGACACATCTTTGGTAAGACGCAGATCATGTAAGAGATAAGGTATCCAATCAACCCATTTGTTCTAAAATAAATGATTGGTGGTGACTCTATTTAGTTTATTCCAAGTCAAAGCCCAATTCAGAGCCCAACCGAAAGACGGTTCTGACAGTTTGGCGACTCCGCTGGGGACATGTAAGTGAGTCAGGCTAAGGTAATTTCCAGTTGTCTTTTTAATGAAAAGGGTAAGTTTAAATTTTAAGGTAATTTTTTTATATTTATGACTTACTTTTGATTATGTTTTTTTTCCAAATAAATAGTTGTACTGACGGTCTCTTTTTAGTGATTTCAGCCTTTAAAGTTTTTTCCACCTAAGGCTTTAAACCCAAGCTCTGAACCCATTTTTAAGTGGGGGTGAAAGCGACGTTCTCGTGAGAATTTGTTCTTTGTATGGACCTAGCAAGTAACCTTCAGGATTCATATACCTTATGCTTTCGTAGGAATTTATTCTCCGTATAGGCATAAGGGAATGTTTCCTCTCGAGTTTAACTTAGTCCACACGAGCTTGTAATGAGCTTAGGGCTAAGGGTCTGGCAAGCCCAAGGGGGCACCAGCAACGAGAACTCGGGTACTATTTTTAGAACCTAAACTGGGAGACTATGGAGAATTAGAGCCTACCCCAAAATCTCATTTCAAACCCTAGGATATTTTTACCCTAACCATGCAGTTTACTGTTTCTTTTTACATTTTTACTCTCATTACTATTATTCTTATTTTTACTAACTTTTTGTTTTTGTGTTTGTCTTTTTTTAGAATTTTGCATCATGAAAAGAGGCCATTAATCCCTAAAATAATGTTTGTTACACATAAATAATCTGAACTAATGGACAAAGGGGTTGTAATGCAAGAGATAAAAAACATCGAGGTACGACTATGGTCCGAGAAGACTTAGAAAGAAAAGGGAGATAGTCTTCAGGGAAGCTATGTGTCAGAACTGGTTAGCTACGCCTCTATCAGCCTGAAACAGAATGATGTCCAAGAACTACGAAGCATTTGGGACAGTTGGAAAGGTGACCGAAAGAAAAAGTTCAGCCAGCGGTATGGTGATATCATACTCCTGATCTATGTCAAAGTAGATGAGCCTTTAATCAGAGCCTTTAATCAGAGCCTTGATTCAATTCTGGAACTAGGGGTATAGCTGCTTCACCTTTAACCGGGAGGACATGGTGCCCACTATCGAAGAATATATTACACTTCTACACTGTGAAAGCATCAGATTGGAGCGAGCCTATATCAAACATATCAAAAGTCAGCCCTTCAAAAATGGGTTGGCCAAAGTTGCGGGAGTAGACGAGAAGGGCAACTGACCGGACTCAGTGCAAAGACACTGGAGAAGGAATTCCTTGGCCTGCCATCAAGCAATTGATGAAGAATCACCCTGATATCATCCTGATAAATGGAAGACTATAGATCTTTTTGTACTGGGCCTTTACGGTTTGATTATCTTCCCGAAGACTTTACGGTGCATCAATGCAGCTGTGGTGGAGCTATTTAAACAGCTCACAAGACAAGTAAATCCAGCACCGACCATTTTAGCTGAGACCTTCTGCTCTCGTTACCACTGTAGAAAAACTGGCAGATGAAGGTTCATTGGGTGTGCTCAGCTTCTCCAAGTCTGGATTCACAACCATTTTTGGAAAACTAATGGGGTTGCCTATCACCGATTCAGTACCACTTATTCACCTTTAAGTGAATTCATCACTTTGAAATTACATGAAGGTGCCTCAAAGGAAAAATGGATGAAGGTCTTCACGTATTTTTAGGACCGAGATATTGCCTGGAGAGCCCATTGGTTGACCCACAGTGACATTCTCTTCCTTTGTGGGGATTCAGACATTATGACACTTCTTGGATTGTGGGTAGGATTTGGATATTCTCCGCTGTTGATACTTCGACAGTTTGGGGCACGTCAGTTTGTCCCAGTGACGTATGGACTAGCTGGATCAGAATTTTTATACCATGGCGAAAACTATAAGAAAAAACTCAAGGAAGTAGCCGAGTCATGGAATAAGTATTTCGGATGGATGTCGTGGCTGCCAAGGATATGCTCACTATGGACTATTTTGAGTGGTGAAGATTGAGGAAAAATGACAACATCCCAGTGCCAGATTACGAGGAAACCCGAACTATGGAGGAACATCTCAGGTCTGTCCCTTCCGAACTTAAGATAGCGAAGAAAGAGTTTGCAGCTGTGAAAAATGAACTGAAATAAAAAGTAAGGGAACTCAAGGTTGAATGCTACCAGTGGAAGTTAGATACCGACACTCAGAAAGATCGAGTAGACAAGCTCGAGAATGAACATATGAATGTCTGTTTTGAGCTCAAGGACTTGAGAAAAGGGTACCAAGAGCAAGTCTAGAGTAACTCCAATCTGAAAAGGACTTCCGAATACTGGAAAGAATAAGCTCACAGCCTGAAAAGGAAATTTGAGGAGCCTGATGAGAGAGAGACTCTGAAAGATCAGCTGAAGACTACTCAGAGGCGCTTGATAGACAATCATCATCGGAACAAGCGCTTGAGAATCTAGGTAGCTGATATGGAGAAATCCCTTCAGAAACAACAAGAGCGAGATGTCAAAACTATAGTTGAGTTAGAAGCTATTATGGATGGAATCAATAAGCAAGCGAGCGAGCTTCAGATAATGCCCTTTGACGGAGGTTTACAATGGCGTTTCCGTTGGGAGCAAGCTTAGCAGAGGGTAAAGGCTAGAGATGCAAGCATCCATAATTTCCTGGAGCAAGTACAAAAGGCAGCTCGTCATATGCATGGCCTAACAATGGAAGTCGGGGTGGTTCGACAAGGCATCCAACCAGTGACAGATGAAGGAAGAAGACTTGTCAACTTACTAAAAAGCTGTTCTGGGTCTAGAGGATTTAGTCCGGATGTACCTTTAGCTTGTTTTTATGTCTCTTAAAAGATAAAACACTTTTGTTTAAATAAGGATTATTTATAATAACAAACACTTTTCTGGATCAATGCCTCTAAATCGCATACATTATGCATCTCATCCTTTGTATTTTATATTTCATGTTTATTTTTTTATATTTTCTATGTTTTTACATTCATATTAACTAACAGAACATGTCTCAGAAGGAGAAGAAAGATAAAACATCGAGTTTACCTCCGTAAGCATTAGACACGCATTATTCGTACAACACTTGAACAAAAAAGAGACAAATATAGGCTAAAATTGAAAAAAATCAAGGAGAATATGGTGAAATTACAGAAAGAGCTAGAGGATAAGGTAGCCCAGAACAGTCAGAATACCCTGGATTCTATCACGAAAAGTCATGAGTCTTTGGTCGATCAAATCGTGGCCAAATTGTCTGGTTTACAACAAGCAAGCGCACCAGGGGCAACCTCGTCTGAGGGGATAGCTATACCACCAACCCCACAGGTGGTTATTTCACCCGAAATCCTACCCGGGGACTCATCTATTACCAAAGGGAAAGTTGTATATGTTGTGAAGATACAAACTTCTGCAATCAACCTTGACAATCATCCGGATGACTATCCCATCTCAAATTTTGATGAGGAAGATAAGGCGAAGAAGATGGAAGAAAATATTAAGATGTTGGAAGACCAGATGAAGATGGTCAAAGGGGATCACAACTATTATGGAGTGGATGTAATAGAGCTAAGTTTGGTTTCGGATTTAATGCTTCCACCAAAATTTAAAGCCCCCGAGTTCAAGAAATTCGACGGGAATAGCTGCCCCTCAGTCCACATCACTATGTTCTATCGGAAGATGACAGGATATGTGGGAAATGACAAACTCCTGATCCACTATTTCTAGGAGAGTCTGTCTGGTTCAGCTATTTGGTGGTATAATCAGCTGAACTAAACTCACATCAAGACATGGAAAAACTTAGTCAAGTCTTTCTTGGAGCAGTACAAACACATCAAATGATATGAGACCAGACCAGGTTATGTTACAAAGCTTGGAGAAAAAGCATGACGAGAGTTTCCGACAATACATACAGAGATGGAGGGATTTAGCCGTGCAAGTTCATCCACTCTTGGATGAAAAGGAAACTAGGAAGCTCTTTGTTCAGACCCTAAAAGCCTCTTACTTCGGGCACCTGGTGGCAATCATATCGGGAAGTTTCTCAGATCTAGTTATGGCCGATGAGATGATCGAGTTGGCCATAAAACAATGAAAAATGGAGGGAGGGGAATCCAGTAAGAAGTCTCACATAAAGAACAAAGACAAAGAGATCAACAATGTCAACACCTACAACGCCAACAAAGGTGTTACTGTAACATCCTGAAATCTGGGTCAATGACTAAAATGAGAATTTTAGAAATTTGGGGATCAATTTAGGAAAATTGATAGTTCAAGGATTTAAATAAGAATATTTTATTATTGGATAAAAGGGTAAATATGATGATTATAAGGGTATTATAGTAATTTAGCTTGGAAGATATTTTATCTCCCTTATTTAGGGAGATAACACGTGTGAAAGAGGAAAAGTTTATCTTCTTTCTTTCTTCTTCTTCCTCTCGTGGCTCCAGCTCCCAAGGGTAAGTTGATTTAATTGGTTAATTTCTGGAATTTATAGGTTGGGTTGGAATAATTAGGTGTTGTATAAGCTTAAAGAAAGCTTATATAAGCTTAAAGAAAGCTTATATAAGCTTAAAACACCAAGAGGAAAGAATTAGAAAGGAATTTCTATTAAGAGTTTAGAAATGAACTTTTGTTATAGAAAGGTTTTTGAAGTTCTAAGGATGGATTTGACTTGTCAGTGGGTTAATTAAGAAGTTAAAGGTAATAGACTTGAATTTAGAACATATGGAAAATTTGATGAAATTCTTTAATTCAAGAATTATGGTGAATTATGAGAGATGGTAAAGTGTTATAGTGTTATAAGAAGGTTTATATATGTATAGATAAGTTTTAAGGTATAAGGAGGGATTAATAAGTAGAATTTGGGGTCAAAACAAGACGTTTTCGTGCTTAAGAGGTAATTTCTGGACTGTGTGCATCGATGCACATTCAATATGTACCGATGCACTCTCAAATAAATGAACATCGAATGTCATTAGTGCATCGATGCACCCGCTTAAGAGTAAAACATCGAAGGTGATTTGTGTACCGATGCATGGGTAGTGCATCGATGCGTATATTAAGGGATGAATCGATACATGGTAGAATGTACCGATGCACTTCAATAGGAAATGAAATAAATCTTTCTTTCAGTCTAAGAAATTATAGATTATAGTATATCAATGGGATACTGATAGTATAAATATATGATTGTGTAGACATCGATCGCAAAGCAATGAGTCTAATTCCGATATTATATGATATGAGTACTAAAGCATAAACATGTTGTGATATGGTGTTAGATGTATGGTATATGAGTAAATCCATATGTCTAATTGTTGAATGCATATTTATGTGTGAACTATGTAAATACATGTATTTATGATAATAGGTCATGTGATCATGAGATATATGATAAAATATATGTGAAAATAATATGACTCATATGTGTTTCTATTATAATGTTATATGATATGTTATGTATGTGAAATGAATGATATGAATACATGTTAGTATAATAAGATAGATTAGATGTTATAATTGAATGAAGGGGTTGTATGAGAACATGTATATGCAAAAAAATGTGTTGTGAGATAAGAATCATGGCTATGAACTATGTGAAAAGGAATACAAGTAAAAGTGAAAAGCTATGTGATAAGTGAATGTGAATTACATGGAAATATGCTATGTGAAAGTGAACTATGTGCCTACGTGAATATGTAAAAAGATAAATAATAATGCCCATGTTATATAATACGAGAGCTATAGGTATAGTTGGCATGCTAAGAGTCGAGGGTCTACGTGGTCCTTCGGGACATAGTTGTCATACGGGACAAATTCTACGCGCCCCTAATAGGATTTATACGAGCTGTGGTGACAGCATTGTGCACAACCTCTAGGTACTCACATACCTTAAGTTCTCAATAGTGTGCATGGGCTTTGAAAAGAAACATAATTTTATATAATGATATGTGTGTTTCCTGTGAAATGGTATATGTGATATATATAAGTGATAAGTTAGGATTATATGATAATAATGGTAACAAATGAATAAGTGTAGTGGTGATATGAGATGTTATATGGTTATGTATGATATAATCATAGTAATCATTCATGTATTGTTGTGTTTTGAAATTATATTATATGTTTATGTTCAATATATGCTCATATGACGGAATTGAATTAATGACAAGGAAATAAGTAAGGATAAACATGTTAGTGATGAGTTCAATAGGTATATAAGTGTAATGTGTATTACATAAGATGTTCATGCATTTGTTAGTTACTTTATGTATTTACATGTCTCACTATGTCTATGACTTAGCGTGTAAGTGTCTTACACGTAGGTGTGGATAAGTCAGAAGATCAAGCTTCGGATCTGTAAAGAAGCATATCTCCGCGCAAAGTTCAGATCAGAAATATTTTGTAAAGTATATCTTGTCATATAATTTAGTATGTTTGCATGTAACTAAGCCATTATATATGTACGCTATGATGGAGTATGTTAAGGTTTTAAACATGTTTATGTAAAAGAATTACTTTATAGAATAGAAGTTTTAAATTTTCTATGGTTTTTTTATAAAAGTATATGCTTGAATGGTCAATGGTGTCGCCTTACCCTATGGAGCTAATTAAGCCCCCTTATCCCAGGTAGTATGACGAGAACGCTCACTGCAAGTACCACGGGGGTGTATAGAGGCACTTGATTGAAAATTGTCTCACATTCAAGAGGCTTGTACAATGAATGCGAAACAAAAATTGGATTCATTTCAACTTCGGAACACCAAACGTCGCACAAAATCCCTTGCCTAATCATCATGAGACTGGGATTAACGCAGTCACTACCGAGAATGACAGGAGAATCAAAGCTAATGTTTCGGAGGTAAAATATCCTTTGTCTTGGATATGGAGCCAAATGGTGAAAGCAGGGCTTCTCGGCCCCCAGTTAGAGACAACAAGGAATGAAAACCAATGATCATTGTTGTTACCACAATGATGATAGGCATGAGGTGCAGGATTACCCAGAGTTCAAAGCGTTAGTCCAGCTCATGATAGACATGAAAGAGTTGGAATTTTATGAAGAGATACAATATTCTCCGAAAGCAGATGTTTGCGCTACCGGAGAGTCATCAGAAAGAAAAAACGGCAGGGGTAGCCCTTTGATAATTACCCCTAAAGTGAAGACAACAACAACGACTCAAGTGAAGGTGGTGATCACAGCACCCCGACCTTTTCAATACAAGAATAATCGACAAGTGCCATGGAACTATGAATGTCAGGTGAGCACTTCAAGAGAATGTGATAGCAAAGTGGGGAAGAGACCACTTGAGCCATTCAAGGAAGATGTGATGACTATCAATGAGCCTATAAAAAGGAAGAAGCTAAGGAGTTCCTCAAGTTCTTGAAGCACAGCGAATACAACGTTGTAGAATAGCTACATAGCTTGTTGATGCACACTTCAATGTTGACACCATTGTTGAACTCGAAGGCACACCGAGAAGCACTGTTGAAAGTCCTAAATCAGACGTTCGTGTCGCAAAACATACCAATCAACAAGATGGATCGACTGGTAATAATATTCAAGTCGATAATCTCTTCTCATTCTCAAATGATGAGATTCCATCCGGAGGGAGAGGTCGAACAAAGGCATTACATATTAATACCTACTGTAAGGGGCACACTTTACCGAGTGTTTTAATCGACAACGGCTCAGCCCTGAACGTGGTGCATTTAGTTACATTGAAGAGGCTACCAATAGATACCTCATATATGGAAACCTGTCAGAACTTGGTCCGAGCATTTGATGGGACCAAAAGAGAGGTAATTGGTAAGATCGAGGTGTCGTTAACAATCAGACCAGCCACCTACAACGTTGAGTTCTTAGTGATAGATATCATGTCTTTTTACAACTGTCTTTTAGGAAGGCCTTGGATTCATCAAGCTGGTGCCGTACCATCCACGATGCATCAAAAAGTTAAATTTGTTATTGATGGAGTCTTAGTGATCATAATTACTGAAGCAAATATCGTGGCAAGTGTGACCACAGATGCTCCATACATCGAGGTAGATGAGGAAGCGGTAGAATGTTCATTCTGCTCCCTAGAGTTTGTGAATGAGAAAAAAAAACTTTGAAAACAAAATCGATTTTGCCGCTGATGACTGGCGGTCGGCGCCGATTAACGACGGCCGGTGAGGCAACAGGCCACCGGTTTTTGGAAAACACGGTGGTTGTTCTTCATGTTCTTGAAGAACATAAGAACAAATGAGAGAAAATGGATTTGGGGGTGCTCGGTTTGAAATGAAGAAGAAATGAGAGTTTTAATTTTTTTTGGCTTTTATAATTAAGCCCGTGCCCGACCCGTAAGCGACCCGATTCACTTTTTAGGGTCCGTGTGTTTTCTAAAATTAATGGGGTAATCCCATTTGTTGTCCTCGTCGTTTCAATCCTTTTATTTTGACCTTAAATTTTAATTTTTACCCCGAATTCTCCTTAATTTTGTCATCCAATTTTGTTTTTATTCAATTTAATCAATTATTATATATACATAATTATATTCCTTTTTTATTTATTTTATATATTTTTTCTTTCTGTTTATTTATTTATATTACTAATATTTTTATATTTTATTCTATTATATATATATATATATTTTATATCATTATTTTTATACGTATATATATACATCTATTATTTTCGTTATTTTGTATATTCTATTTATTCGTCTATTTTTTTATTGCTATTTATTATGTACATATTCTTTTTACTATGATTTTCCTATATTTTATTTTATTTTTTCTTGTCTTTATTTTTAATTTTATTCTTTTCGTTTTGTTTATTTTATTTTGGTTTATTCTATTTATTTATTTTCCTTATTTTCTTTATTTTTTGATTTTATTTCTATTTCTTTATTTTCACTTTGTATTTTATTTACTTGTTATTATTATTTTATTATTATTTTTTTATTACTCTTTTTATTTTATCTTCTTTATTTAATTTGTTTTGTATTTTGTTTGTTTTTATTGCATTTTTATTTAACACATTTCTTGATTTCTTAAGGGTTCACTTTTAAATCTATCAGAGGTGAGTAATTTGGATCTTTATTTTACATTTTAATTTAAGCTTTCAATTTTATTAATTAAAGACAACTGGAAATTACTTAGTACCGAAAGGACAATTCAAGGGTGTCAACCCTTCCTTGACTGTAACCGACTCCCAAATCCGACACATCTTTGGTAAGAATCAGATCAGGTATCTGATCAACTCATTTGTTCTAAAATAAATGATCGGTGTCGACTCCATTTCGTTTATTCCAAGTCGAAGCCCAATTTCGGGCCCAACCGAAGGACGATTCCGACAATATTTATTAAAAAAATATTTTTCAATAAAAATATATATTTAATTAGAAATAATATATAGAAATGTATTATTGCAATTGTCCATAAATATATAAGGTAAAATTATTTTTTTCCGGGTCGGATCGGATAATTTTCAACCTAAATCCGAATTTGACCCGAACATAACCTCTAAAAAACCTCGACCAATCAAAATTGAACTCAATTTTTTTTTAAAAATCCGACCCAATCGGATTGAAACTCATCAAGTTCATATTATGTTCCCATCCCTGAAGAATTAATAGATTCACTCATGATTCAACTTAAAATATAATAAATTTAGAGAAAATTTAAACATAATTTACACGTAAAATTCAAATCACAAATTTCCCATGACCACAACCTTACTATTAAATCTAGTTATAATTTAGATTCTTCTTTCTTCTTTTATATATATTTTTTGAACTCGTTAAATGATCTCAATGATTAAAAAAATATTATTTTTCTTAAAATTTTAAGTTCAAATAATTACATTTATAAAATATGTGCATTAACAATAATTAAAAAAAGTTTAAATAAATATTACATTATAATCATATCGATTTTTGACAAAATAAAAAAATTTGTTTACTCATTTCGTGATGTTTATATAAGGCACAATGTTGTTGGTGATTTAGAAAGTTTTGAAGAGTATTAGAAGTTATGTACGAATCAAACGATTTCAATGGCCGGAGAATTATTATTATTTATCGAAATATCATGTTTAAACTTTATAAATATAAGAAGTGTCAGCGTTTAATATCAAATGATTTAAAAATTCTCTTTGAACCATCTTTTACTTAAATTAAATATATATATATATATATCAGGATTCGTTATTTGTATGGAAAATATGCGGCAATCAAGACGGAAGTAAGTGCTTTTTTCCATAATTTATAGAAGAAATAGTAAATAACTAAGGCTGTGGCTGTTGAAGAAGAAACAAATGGCTGCGCTTCCTTCTTCCATTCATAAACACATACTTCTTCCGAAGGAAAACGAGGGTTACATATCTTTCAACAAACCAAAAGTCCACTACCGTCCTCATTTTCAAAAGTTACGGGCTGTTGTGAATAAATTGGACTTTGCCCATCAGGTGTTTGATGAAATTCCCCAACCAAAGACATACGCCTGGAACCAATTGATCCAGACCCATCTCTCCAATAAGCATCCTCGGAATGCTCTCTCTGTTTATCACGGAATGATGCTTCGTGGTATCTGTCCCGATAATCATACTCTCCCCCGCATCTTAACGGCATCCCGTCTCTGCTTCGACTTAGCGTTTGGGAAACAAGTTCATGCCCATGTTTTCAAGCATGGCTTCTCCTCCGACGTCTATGTCATCACTGCTTTAATACAATTGTATGGTTGTCTACATGGCGTGGAAACTGCGAAATGGGTGTTGGATAATGCCCCCACTTCCAGTTCTGTTGCTCTCACTATACTGGCCAAGCTGTACTTAGCAGACAATAAACCCCACTCGGCTATCGAGGTTTTTAACCGAATGATTCGGTCGAAGGCTGAAATCGATCCGGTGGCATTGGCAACCGCTGCCGGCACCTGTTCCCGCTTAAAGTCAATACAACAGGCGAGAAACGTGCATAAGATTGCTAAGGAATGTGGTTTGGAATTTCATTTACTTGTCAGCAATTCACTGATGAAAATGTATATTGATTGTGATAGTCTTGAGGAAGCTCAATCTTTGTTCGATGCAATGCTGTCGAGAGATATCATTTCGTGGACCGAGATGATTCGAGGACTTGTAAAAAATGGGGGATATAATGAGGCTGTCAAACTGTTTCGCCTAATGAATAGAGCTGGAATCAAACCCGATTCGCTCACGATTACTAGCGTTCTTCCGGCCTGTGCGAGAGTACCTGGTCATAAGCAAGGGAAGGAATTACATGCCTACTTGCTTAGGAACGGATTAGACATGAATCTCATAGTCCAGAATGCTTTAATGGACATGTATGTCAAATCAGGATTCATTGAATTAGCTTCGAATGTTTTCATGTCGATGATCGAGAGAGATATTTTCTCTTGGACTATAATAATATCGGGATATAGCTTGCACGGACAGGGAAGGCGAGGACTGGATTTGTTCTCGGAGATGGAGAAAAATTCCAGCTTAGAAATAGACGAGTTCGCATATGCTGCGGTTCTCCATGCTTGTGTGACTTCTTGCAATGTCAATGTAGGAATGTCTTACTTCAACCACATCAAGAAACCTACAGTTACACATTGTCTTCTGATGGTAGCCCTTCTAGCTCGTGCTGGACTCTTCAATAAGATGCGCAACTTTATCGAGGAACACCGGATTGAACATACCGCAGACATATTAAGAGCTGTGCTAGATGGATGCAGGATCCATCGGCAAGAAACGATGGGGAAACGAATCACCGAGCAGCTTTGTGAATTGGAGCCTCTCAATGCCGAGAACTACGTTTTACTGTCGAATTGGTATGCAGAGAGCGCGAAATGGGACATGGTCGAAAAACTAAAGACAACAATCAAAGACATGGGTTTGGAGCCGAAAAGTGCGTACAGTTGGATAGAGTTTCGAAACAAAGTTCACGTGTTCGGAACAGGTGATGTTTCCCACCCCAGATCCGAGATGATATATTGGGAGTTGCAGCATTTGATGAAGAAAATGGAAGATGAAGGAGGACATGAGCCTAATTCAGAATTTAGCCTCCATGATGTCGACGAAGAACGCGAATGTATTCGAATCGGACATTGTGAGATGTTAGCCATTTCTCTTGGGCTTATCAGTACACAAGAAAGAGTAACTGTTCGTGTTACTAAGAATCTCCGAGTATGCAGAAGCTGCCATGACTTTGCAAAGGGTATATCCAAGATAGTAGATAGAGAAATCATTATAAAGGATCCTAATTGTTTCCACCATTTCAAGAATGGCCACTGTTCATGTGGGGATCTTTGGTGATTTCTGTAGAGAGATCATGAAAATGAAAAGGAAAAAAAGTTAAGGGTGAAATTGAAAAATAGTAAAATGTAGAGGACCAAATCTATTATTGTTCCTTAAGAAAATAGTAATTGGATTTGAACTCGAGTTCGATTGAAAATGTCTTTAACCAGTTGCATCAATGAAGTTAATTCTTGAAAAAGCCCTAATCAATTCCTCTAATCAGATTAATTCACATGAGCTCTATCTCTCTATATTAATTTAACACAATGACAGCGAGAACCAAGCGACTTCGGTGATTAAGGGAAGAGTCTAATCACTAAAGATCTCGGGATCGAACACGACAATTACGGGAGTGTTTCCATTTGCTCAAATCATTGAATCAAAAATTGAAAATCCGGTTGGTTCAAGTTCTAATCTGATTTTTATAATATTAATACAAATGACCTATGGGTGTAGAACGGGATATGTGGGCATCCCATTTGGTCAGGGCTAGCTCCAAAGCCCAAACCTAAATTTTCAGTAAGTCGGTGAATTTCAACAGTAGATGTTAAGCCCAAACCGAAAAGAATGATATAGTTTGACTTCAAGCTCATTTGACAATGAACGACGTAGAAGGGCGGTGATGCAAGTTCTCTAGTGATTTTTGAACAACGAAAAGACAACTGACGACGGTGGCTCGTGGAGACAGTAATGATAGCGTGATGCTTTTTTGTTCACGTTTAGGGAAGATCAATCTGACATAAAAGGAGAGGAAGAAAAGAGAAAATGTATGCTGATGACGATCGTTGGAGACTGTCACGACAATAATGAAAACGGTGACGATAACGATAAATGAGGAGACTAGGGTTTCAATATTTGAGAAAAATAATATTTTTGGAGGGAAAGATGAAAAATGAATTGATTTGAAAAAGAGGGAGAAGAGTCACCCTTAGTTCAGTCGATCCAGATCGTTAGCTACCAACCTTATCTAAATTTAATGTATTTGTTGTTGATCTTTAAAAATATATCAATTTTAGGTGTAACGAGGATCTTTAATCCTCTTATACATAATTGATTTTCGATTATATTTTTACTCCAGTTTTAAATATAAACCTTTAAAATTATTTTTTAAAAACATGTTTTAATAAATAACAATTTTATACCATATGTGATTAAATTTACCAAATCTAAAATGATTGATAATAAATTCTATTTTCAGATGATATACATTTTATCATAAAAAGAATTCAAACCTAAAAGCAGTTCTCAAAGAATATAGGAAACTTCCTTATGAAACCTAAAATAGTTTCTTGTATTACAAGATAAATTAAACTTAAATTTTATGTGTACAATTAAATTAATATTAAAATCTTATTTATATAGTTATAAACATTTAACCATGTGTGAATTTAATATTTTTTTTTATAAATTCCTATCAATATATAATGATGCCCAAAGTAATAATAACGGGATTGTCTCAGGAAAGGCGGGTTAATATACGGCTAATATACGGCGTTACCGGATATATTAAAAGATATTTAACAAATTCGGTTTAGCGCTATTGGAAATATTGACTAATAATAATGTAGTAGGTTTAAGTCATGAAGAAATATTAAAAAATTGTGCAACCGGCAAACTTAACTTGTCTGTTCGTGTCGATCCAAATTAAAAATGTGTCTATCCAAAACGATATAACAGGTAAAACTATGACAAAACCGGTATTAAAATGATAAAATCGGTAAAGCGCTACCGGATACATTTAAAGTGTCGGTACTTTAATATAAGGATCGACACTTCATGAATTTAAAAGAGAAGCAGTTTTAAATCCTATAAAGTGTCGCTACTTTTAAAAAATGTATCGATCCAAAATGATATACCAGGTAAAAATATGATAAAACCGGTATCAAAATGATAAAATCGGTAAAACATTACCAGATATATTGAAAGTGTCGATACTTTATATAAGGATCGACACTTTGTGAATTTAAAAGAGAAGCAGTTTTAGCGCCTATAATGTGTCGATACTTTAAAAAATATATCGATCCACAACGATATAACAAGTAAAAATATGATAAAACCGGTATCAAAATGATAAAACCGGTAAAATGATACCGGATATATTGAAAGTGTCGATACTTTCGTAAGTACGTGTAATAAATTATCGACACTTTCAAAGAAATAGGTAATTATCCTTTCAAAAGTATCGACACCTGACATAAAAGTATCGACACTTTTGTATTTGTATCGATTAAATATAAATAACATATCCGATGAAAATATAAAGGCCATATCTAAATATCCTCTGAAAATCGATAGAACGGACGAGTTTTTGAAATCGAAGCATAATTGTTGCTGCATTTCAGAAGGCGTTTCTAAAGCGATGTTTGTTTGTTTGTTGATGCAGTCGAATCGAAAAGTATGTTGTCGAAACCCTAGTTTTTTATTATTACAATAATCGCGAATAGGATTTTTATGTGTTGTTTGGGGTTTTGGAGTAAAGAAGCATTTGGGACCGATTGCAGGTAGAAAGTGATATTGAAGGTAAAATATAAATGTCGATACTTTTATTAAATATTATAGGTAGAAAATGATATTATAAGTTGTATAAATGTGCCGACACATTTTGTAGTGGCCATTCAAATTCTTTTAAAGAAAACAGTTTTACCACAAGAGTAGTTATATATATTTTGTATATTGAATAAAGTGTATGTAACAAAATAATTTGATTTGCGTAAACTGATATATGAAGGAAAAATGGAGTCAATGGGTTGGAAAATTGTTGGTGGCGCAGATGACTTTGAAATTGAGGCCGAGACTCGAAAGCAACCAAAGGGTAGATATATGTACTTCTAATAAGTATCAATGTCTTTTTGTTATTATTGTTGAAATGATAATTGGATTAAAGTATCGATAAACTTTAAATTGATTACAAATTTTAAATGTTGACAGTATGGCCGAATGCAAACGGATGAAGGAAGATGGCACACAGAGCGGTTCGGTATGTAAAATGAAATTGACATTGAGTAGTATTTAGTGTTTTAATGTATTGATTAAGAAACGTTTATGTTTAATATTAGGTGACAAAAGATGTGAGGTCTAAATGGAATTTAATGAGTGATGCTGAAAAGGAACCTTACATCACACAGTCAAGGAATGATAGTAAAGAATACAAAGAACGGAGGAAAGCAAATGAAAATAAGGTATTCATTAAACTTGTAAATACGTTGATACAAAATATATAAGAACTATAACATTATATATTGTTAAAAAATGTAGGAAGTGTCGACAAGATGCAGCATTAAAAGGGTGAATTCATTAATTAAACACCTTAAGGAGAAGGGTCAGTTGAATGTGCTGGGAGAAATAGGTTTTGGATCGTTGGTAGGAGTAAGGGATCGACCTATTCGGAGGGAATTGTGTCGATCCTTGATGGCGCAATTTGATGTCAGACAATGTATTGCTAAGTATGGTGATTTTTCATTTCCTCTCGGGATCCCATGTGCTGCAGTCGTATTGGGGGTAGAAAATGAAGGCAAAAGTGTTGTAGAAGTCTGTAAGAGTAAGGACTGGAAAGCACTTGCCTCCAAATATGGTTTGAAGCAGAAGGTGACATATGCTGAAATTGAAGAGGAAATAAAAAGTGGATCTTACGTTGGGGATGAGCTGAAGGCCAGAGTTCTATTATACCTTGTCGGTATCTTTCTTTGTCCAACGGGTCATACGTCAACGAACAAGGAACATATGAAGCTCATTTGCGATGAAGGCTTGAAGGGTGAATTCAATTGGGCTGAATATATCCATTCGAGATTGATTGAATCAATAATCACCTTTAAAAAGGGCAGCCAGAGATACCTCAAAGGGTGCATAGCAATCTTAGAGGTAAATGAGTTGAAGAACTTTTTTGTGTTTTTTATATAAAAATATAAATTTTATTATAAATGCAGGTTGCACTGTTCGATTTTTGGTCGGGCTGTGAGGCAGTGTCGGCTTATGAAAGAACCAGAGTGGCACGCATCCGTGCATGGGGGAAGGAAGAGGTGGTTAGAGTGAAGTTGAAGTTGAAGTTGGATAGAGCGAAGAAGCAAGAAAGGGTAATAAATGTAATTAAATAATATTAAGAATATAATCAATGTCTTAATATTGTAATTTAATTTTGAAGGTTATTGGCAAGGATGTAGAGGAGGAAGTGGAGGCAGAGGAGAAGAAAGGAGAGATGGTTGTATTGGGGGATGACGGTGAGTGGGATGACGGTGAGGGAAAACATAGTAACTTCGACATTTTGATGTCTGAATTGGCTGATATCAAAAAAATCCAATTTGATATCATGCAAAGACAATCAAGAGTCGAAGAGAAACTTGATAGAGTCGAAGAGAAACTTGAGAGAGTCCAATATACACTTGAGAGGCATAAAGGGGTAGTGGAAGGAAAAATAGATGGACTGGTGAAAGAAGTAGAGGTCTTGAGGGGTGAAGTGGTGAAAGAAGTTGGGGTGTTAAGGGGTGATATTAAGATGGTGACGGGTGAAAAATTTGAGGGAGTGGTGAAGGAGATTGTGGAATTGAGGAGTGAACTTACGGGGGTGAAGGGGATGGTTGATAAATACTTGGATGAAGGAGATCAATTGAAGGGTGAAATAAAAGAGATGAAGAGCTATGTAGAAAAAAATACGATGAACTGAAAAAATATGAAGAAGAAAAGAGGGAGGAGAAAGAAGAAGAGATGAAAGAAATGAGGAGGAAGGAAGTCGATGTCATTTATACACCGGAGAGTGTTATAGCAGCAGATTTGGATTCGGAATGTCCTACACCCCAGAAGAAGAAGCAGAAGGTAAGTTGAATAAAAAAAACTTAATTTGATTTTTATTATGTTGTTGTGACAAAAATTTGTATGCAAAATTGTAGGTTGAAAAAGCGGATATTCCAAGCGGAATTGATGACATCGAAGCTGCAATTTGTGATTATTTATGGAATAGTGAGTTAGAATCGGAGTAAGTGAAATATATTGCTTTGTGAGTTATATTTAAATATTTCATGACAACATATTAATCCTAATGATTCATACAG